TTAACATATATTAATGATTTTTGCCTGCAACAATGGTGTCTGCCAAATTGTAATTTTTCTATTTCCATCATTCTTTAACATATTGATGGAAAGCTACTATAACAAAGAGCTGTTTCTTAACCCCCATTTAATTATTTATCCAATGATTTATTTATATCAGTATGGAATCATGTATATTTATTTTATTCTGTGAGTTATAGTTCATGATTATCATTTCTTTTGTTGCTCAACTTATTCCATATTTGGCTACAGAGAGACCCTTTACATTGGCTATTCTGTCCTTCTGACAAGCTCCCACCATTTTTTGAGTACTTCCTTACTTTTGACATCACAAGATGGTTGGGGCCCCTCTTGCTCTTTCTATGTTCTCACCTTGGAGTTTTTTGGGCTTTAAAAAATTTTTTTTAATTCTTTTTTTTTTTTTTTTAGATTTTATTTATTTATTTGACAGAGAGAGAGACAGCGAGAGAGGGAACACAAGCAGGGGAAGTGGGAGAGGGAGAAGCAGGCTTCCCACCGAGCAGGGAGCCCGATGTGGGGCTTGATCCCAGGACCCTGGGATCATGACCTGAGCTGAAGGCAGATGCCTAAGGACTGAGCCACCAGGTGCCCCACACCCTGGAGTTTTTTAAGAAACCCTGGATCCTTTTTTGGAATTATATTAAGAAGCTGAGATCAGGGTGCTAGACATGTTCATTGGGACTGGGGTATCATTGTTTCTAAGCCCTTTCAATGAACAGAACTAGGAAATATATGTGCAAATATACACACACATCTATATCTTTGTCTATACTTACCTGTCTGTGTGTGTGTGTGTGTATGTATGTATATATATATATATATATAGAGAGAGAGAGAGAGAGAGATCTATTTATTTATTTGAGAGAGAGAATGTGGGTGTGGAGGAAGGGGGGAGGGGCAGAGGGAGAGGGAGGGAGAGTCCCAGGTGGACTCTGTGCTGAGTGGGGAGCCCGTCCTGGGGCTCTATCCATGACTCCAAGAGCATGACCTGAGACAAAACCAAGAGTTGGATGCTTAACCAACCATAACACCCAGACGCCCCTGTCTGTATATATATATTAAAAACTTATGAATTCTTATTGTTACCTCCAAATCTAATCCAAAATCACAGGGTTTATTCTAGTCTTCCTCGTTTTCTTATTTATATCTCTCTTCTCCAACAGTGAGAAACCTAGTGCTTTCATCCATAATAAAGTTACTTACTTGCCCAATCCTATAATACACATAAAGTAAATTCAGAATGCTAACCCATAAATGTGAAACACACCTTCATCAACGAGAATCTGTCTTCAGCCTTTGACATCATTGTGTGAACCAGACTCACACCATCTTGGACAAATGTGCCATGATGACTGCTTTGTGACCTGAAGCCTTCTCCAGTACAGCTCCCGCTTCCACCTTCTTCCATTTTTGTCTAACCACACCCTTAAGTGCACCCTTGGGGTATTATAGCCTTTATCTGCTCTGAAGATACAACATTTCCTGCCTGGTGGTCTACCAGCACATACTTCTTACCAGCCTCTGGAGCAATAAAAGCAGGTCTTATGGAGTCGAGGTTGCAGAGACCTATGTATCTTGGGTCTTGCATCTGCCCAAGACATGCTTCTGTCCCTAAGTCCCCCTTACTAAACCATTTCTCGTCAAGCTGGGCATGTCAGCAGGTCTTAGAGCTCCTTTGGCCTTTGGAGGTGGTTTTGCATGTATGTCCCTTTCATGAAGCAATCACATAGTCAAAGTATTTTTTTTTCAAAGTTAGACCAGTTCTTTTCTTCCTCGTTCCCTTTAGTGTGGTGGGACATTCATCTTTAGTATGATTAGGCTTATTTGATGTTGTTTGTATTTCATTTGGGATCCTTCCACCCTCCTCCTCCAAACACACACATCCTGCTTATTTATTTATCATTTATATATTTATTTCCTGGATATCTGAAACATTACCACAGTTCTAAAATCTGAGCTATGGAAAAAGGTATACTCAGAGAAGGACCGTCCTCCCCCTCCCTCCTACCCTGTTCCCATTCCCCCTTTTCACAGCTTTCCCACCCCCTCCCAGTAGGTAATCAATCCCATACGTTTTTGGTGTATCCTTGCTGTATTTCTTCTTGCACGAATGTGCAGATACATGCACATTTTCTTAGAACTTTATTCTTTACATGAGAAGTAGTGCGTGACAGATGAAAAGTGTGGCTCCTGGGTGGAGAGGGGGCTGGAGGGGGCTTGAGTGGATGTAAAGGAACAACTAGAAAGCTGCCACCCAAGTCCAAAAGAGAGATGCTGGGGCCCCAGCGCAGCCGTGGTGGTAGCAGAAAAGAGGAAAGGAGGACAGGTTTGAGCGTTTGGAGGTGACATTGCCCTGATTTGGTAACTGATCACTGAGGGTCAGGGGGACGGCCCTGTCAGATGAGGTTTTGGTTTCTGGCTTACGGACTGGATGGATGCTAGTGTCGCTCACTGAGATATAGGACACTGTAAAAGGATCAGCTTTGGTTGGAGGGGTCCCCCACCTGGGTCTGTTTGGATGTGTCGAATTTGAAGTGGAAGCAGAGTTAGGCCCTTGAGGCATACAGCACAGAGGGGAGGGGAGGTCTGAAGAGAAGTGTCTCAAGCTGCACAGATTCTGCCCTGGTCTTCCGGACACTTAGGTCAGAAAATAAGAGGGCAGGGGCGCCTGGGTGGCTCGGGGCGCCTGGGTGGCTCAGTCGTTAAGCGTCTGCCTTCGGCTCAGGTCATGATCCCAGGGTCCTGGGATCGAGCCTCACATCGGGCTCCCTGCTCAGCGGGAAGCCTGCTTCTCCCTCTCCCACTCCCCCTGCTTGTGTTCCTGCTCTCGCTATCTCTCTCTCTGTCCAGTAAATAAATAAAATCTTTAAAAAAAAAAAAGAAAAGAAAAGAAAATAAGAGGGCAGCAGCATAGCGAGTACGATCTGCACCCAATTCCAGGAGGGGGGGCTCCCACACCACCAGGCAAATCTGCGGCATCAGCTGGGTGAACAATAATTCAACCTCTGACACCACCACCCAGGGCACCATCAGACTCCAGTCGGATGGAGGGCCCAGTCCCACACGACGGCTCCCCACTGCAGACGCCACTGCCAAGTCCAGCTCGTCCTCGGTGCTCCTGAGCAGCCAGCTGTGCATGAGAGGCTTCCACGGCCCCTCCTTGGGTCTGACTAATTTGCTAGAGTGGCCCACAGAACTCAGGAAGCCTTTTTACTCCCGAGATTACCAGCTGATTACAAAAGACATTAAAGGGTACGAATCAACGACCCGATGAAGAGATACACAGGGCAATCTCTGGATTGGTTCCCCTGGGAACCAGCCCCCACTTTAGGTGATCTAGGGGTTTTCCTTTTTTTTTTTTTTAAGGTTTTATTTATTTATTTGAGATAGAACGAGAGTGAGTGAGTGAGAGAGAGAGCACAGGGTGAGAGGGAGAGAGAGGGCCACGGGCGGGGAGAGGGGCAGAGGGAGAGGGAGAGGGGCAGAGGGAGAGGGAGAAGGAGACTCCCCATGGAGCAGGGAGCCCGACAAGGGCTCCATCCCAGGACCCTGGGATCATGACCTGAGCTGAAGGCAGATGCTTAACCAACTGAGCCACCCAGGTGCCCCTCTAGGGGCTTTCCCAAAGTCACCTCATTAATATAACAAAAGATACCCTTATCTCTCTCATCACAGGAAATCCCAAGGGTTTTTAAGAGCTCAGTGCCAGAAACAGGGACAGAAACGAAGACCAGATGTGTGTTTCTTATTACAAATCAAAATATTGCAGGAAGATATTCCAGTCCCACGCAGAAGAACAAAACCCAAACCAAAGCCTTGGTAGTCGCCCCTACTTCTTACAGGAGGCTGGCTGCTCAGGGCAGTGTGCCTATCAGAAGACTGTGCCTTCCCAGTGGGTGAGGTCAGAGGCACAGGGATGTCCCTGCCCCTCTAGGTGGAGGTGGGATGACAGAGGATTGGGGCTGCAATTGTGCCTGATTTCAAGTCACCCTAAAATGCTAATGATGCTGTATTTAAGCTAACTTCAATGAAACCATATCCCCACAGCTCACAAGACCTCCATGGGACCTTGGCTATTATAGGACCCCTGCCGAGGGATTGGGGTTGGAGGAGGAGGGGACCAAACTTCTCCCCATATCCAAGCAGATGGACACAGCAGGGAGCAATCGAAAGGAGCCCCTTTGAATTCCTTAGGAAGAGTGTAGTGGGGGTCGGTATCAGTTGGAGGTATAGACGCCAAAAGTCATCTCATGTTGTTTCCTCCTCCCTGTTTTCAGGCCCGAAGGTAAGGAGGTAGAGAACATTCCAGAGCTCATTTCAAGAAGATTGCCCCACTCATGGATAAGACATTTTTTGAAAAGTCTCTAGGGGCAGATGCTCAGATCATGAGGGGCTCTGAGCGTGGGTGGGTGGTGGGGAGAACTTCCACCAGGAGCATGGCAGGAGGGAAAAAGAAGATGGAAAGGGTGGCTTAGGAGGTGGTGGCAGGTGTGTTCCTTGTGTTGGTTCTCTCGATATCTCCTACCCCAGTCTTTAGTTAAAAACTCAGAAAACAATAAACCCCCTTAAAGTAACTTGATTTCCCATGCCAATCAATGAGAGGCCTGGGCTTTGAGTCTGGCCTGGCATGGGTCTGATGAACTTGCTGGGAGTGGGGACAGTGGAGTGAAATGGGGCAGCAGTGCATGGAGCAGGAGGGCAGGCAGGGTGGGGAGGCCCTGGCACAGCACACCCAGACCCAGAGAACACAGCATCGTGAGGAGGTTGGCCGCAGGTTCTGGAAATTGGAGGAGGGCTTTTGACTATTCCAGGCTGGGGAATTCAAGCATGGGCTAATATTAATCCAGTCCTCAAGGGAACCCATTGGCATCTGACTTACATATGTATACAATACTAATATTAATAGATTCCATTTATTTTATTTTTTAAATATTTTATTTATTTATTTGAGAGAGAGAGAGAGATCATAAGCAGTGGGGAGGGGGAGGGGGAGAAGCAGACTCCCCACTGAGCAGGGAGCCCAATGAGGGGCTCGATCCCAGGACCCCGAGATCATGACCTGAGTTGAAGGTAGACGCTTAACCCACTGAGCCACCCAGGTGCCCAATAGATTCCATTTATTGAGCAATGTGCTATATGTTTTTCATATGTATTATTCCATTTGGATTCTGTTTTCATAACAACTGCAACAGGTAAGTATTATTACTGCTTCTACAGGGTTCATTCCTATTATAAGTTCTTTTTTTTTTTTTATACCCCATGTTCAAACTAAATAACTGTAAAATAGCATATAGTTCCCTGAACTTCCCAAGGAAGTTAAAGGAGTCAAAAATAAACTGAAAAGGAAACTGAGGTGCAGAGTACCTAGCAGCTTGACTCCTAAGCGTGCACTCTTGGCCATGTTCTCAATCCTCTCCCCTCCTCTCTCTCATCTACCCATCCATCCATCCATCTATCCATCCATTCAGACATACATCTTTCTGACTATATCCTTATCCACTTATAGATGTAATTTCTTTTTGAGTGGGAGGTTGAATTAGATAATCTAAAACTTTTCTTCCAGGTCTTAGGTTCTATGAGGTATATTTTACCTTAGACTAAATTGTGATTATTTTTGGCCGAGTGTTTGTGTTTCTAATTAAGTTGCTTGGACTCATTTTAACATAGGTTTCAGAGCTGGCATGGATCTAGGCAGTAGTCCATTCCAAGTTCCCCATTTTATGAGTGAGATGAAGTGACTCACTAAAGCTCATCTGGTCCAGAGCTTTGCCAGGATACCATTCTGTTTCAGATTATTTTGAAACCTGGATACATGGCAAGTGCCGAATAAGGACAACGATCCAGATAGGCCATGAGCAAGAGGGAATGGCAGCCTGGAATTAGAACGTCACCTGTTCTAATGCCAAGGGTCAGTGATGACAGTGATGATGATGATGGTGGCAGATGGTGGCAGTGATGATGGCAATGTCTCCTGTGATTCCCCAGGCCCTGATATCCCAAAGGATGTGCAGAGTCATCCAACACACCTTCTTGCTTCCTGCCAACTAACACCTCATTCATTCCTGAAAGATGCCTACCTTATTTAGAAAATGCCCCAGGAAGCTTGAAACCTTTTCTAGTCTCTATCTCTTCCTGATTTGAGCCATCATTCCCCCCTGTTATGTGTGCTTATTCTTTTTCTCCATTTTAAAAATGAGTAACTATAGAACAGCATATAGTTCCCTGAACCACACAGCAAAAGGAAGTTGAAGGAAGCAAAAAAAAGTAAACTACATGGTCATGGGCAACAAGACATTGATGATAAATCAAAAGCAGGGTTTAGAAATAGAGAAGCTGGCTTCACTGAGACACAAACACCATATTCACACTGATCCCTTTCTTTTCCAATTCCGGGAGTCCTGGCGTGGGTGAAGTTGAGTCACCTGGAGGGTGTGGCAAAGCCTAGTTGGTACTTTGGACTTCTACTTGCAGCGAGATCTCTCCTATTTCCTCTCAGAGCTGAATTGGGTGAGCTCTTGGCTTCCAACCCTGTCTCCATTTGGTCCCTTTGAGAAGAAAGAAATAAGATGCAGAAGACAATACTATCATGTATTGAGTATCTATACTATGTCAACCACTGAGCTTTATATATTTTATATCATTTGTTCACCTCAATGATATTGAAAGGATGGTATTATTATCCCCATTTTACAGATAAGAACTCCAAGGTCCCGAAAGTTAGAGTGACAGCCCCAGGGTTCCCATATTGGTAAGTGATGGAGGTCAAATTGAGCCCAGCTCTATATGCTCTGTAGTCACTCACATGAGGAAAAGAGCATGGGAATCTTACAGCCCCATTCCTCCTTAGATTCTGAGATGGACATGATTTCTCCTGCACATCCCACTGGTCTCCACCTTCTCTAGTGTATGAGTTTTCACGTTTTGACAGTATGACCCTCCTCTTCCTACACATATGATCACGAATCAGGGATGGAGTGGTTCATCTCGCATGCTTATACGTATTGTAGACTCTTAAATCTTCACTTCCAGCTTTAACCCATAACATCAAGTAGGGCCTGCTCTCCACTCCTCCACCTGCCCTTTCTTCCATGGAATCAATACCTACTTTTGCAAGCCTGTGCAAAGCCAGGTTTCAGTGTGGCCTCTGCCAGACCATACTTTCCACGATGAAGGGAGGTACCTGAGAGGTGACCAGGCCCATCCCTTTACTTCTGTATAGGATAGCACTTGGACCTGCCACACCAAGTCGGGGTACAGAACTCCCAGGATAACACATGAGGGGTGATTTAGAGAAGCAAATGTTAACACACTTACGGGCACAGATCCCACCGTGCCAGGCTGAGGAGAAGCCAGCTCCTCTGTTTGGCAGATAGTTTGTTCCCAGTAACAGCAAGACTGCAGCAGGCTAGAGCCGAGTTACAAGGCCAGGTGGAAGTAGAGTTGTCACACGGGTTTTTAAAATCAAGCGAATGGCCTTGACAACTTCCATCCAAAATCTTTCAAAAAGGGACAAACACAGCAGTGACCCCACTCTCACCTCCACCCAATCAGTTTCACCAATGAAGAGTAATCCTATATGGCTAAAAGAGGATAGATAAAACCCCTTCTGTCGGTCTAGCCTCACCTTCAGGATGGCAGATGTCCCTAGGTGGGTTCCCTTGCCCCCTCTTCAAAATGAGGACAGCTGGGTTTGGGTTTATTATCCTATTCTTGAATCCCGAAGACCATCCTAAGAGTAAGACATGCCCTCTGGAGGGCAAGGACCTGGGGAAGCAGGAAGGGAGTTGCTGGGGGAATGGGCATGTCACCAGCTCAGGATACAGAGTGAGAAGGCAAGCTGTATGTAGTATGTTTTGTTGGAGAAATAATTACCTTTACCTGGGAGTGAGGATTTAAGAGGAGGTACTCCTCACCCACCTGTGTTGATGCGAGGGCCCCGGTTTCCTCCCAAGTCTTACTTTATGGGTAGCACCAAGTTTCCCTATTAATCAGGGCAATTAAAAAAAAATAAAGTGATCGTTCCTAGGTTCTCCTGACATACACACATGAAGCAGTTCAACCAAACACAGCATGTGTCAAACCAGTCCTCCAGGAGGGGGCCTACTCTCTTTGGGGGAGTCTGTAATAAGGAATGGCTTGGCTAGTTGTGTGAGTCCCTATCAGCTCTGACAGACCCGGTCCTGATCCAGGGCGAGGAAGGCCACAGGATTTTGGGTGTGTGTGTGAGAGTATATACAGAAACTGTCACACCCACACCCCACATACCATGACAGGGTGGAGCCATTTGTTGTCCGTACCTTAATCTTTTCATCATTTTCAGAAATACTATGCTTTGACAGTGCTGGGTCCCTAAGGATGCAGCCCAGAAATCCTCAGCCGACCTCACAGGCACCTTTCCAACTACAGTTCCCCTTATCTGCCCCTCACATCTGGGGATCCTGCGCTCCAACCACAGCCATGAATGATATTTATTTCCTTAGGGGAAACAGGGGCCATGTCTAGCTGTGCCTGATTTCCAGAAGTGTATCCACAAGCCGATACCACCCATTCCTATTACCCTCTCTTGGCATTTTGTCAAGTTGCACAACATGGTCAGGGAATTGGGGTTCATAATGAGTTATTATAGTGCTACTTTCCAAAGACATAGTAGAAAAAACAACACTCAATATGGTCTTGAACAACGTTTAATCTCTGATGTTTCAGAAGACACCTGAGGATCTTGAAGGGCCTGAGGGCTGAGCCTTTGAATGTGACTGCTGATCCTGAGGGTGCCTCGTGAGGGAGGCGGCACGCAGCGTGGAATGAGAAGCCAGGGTCAATGCTCTGTTACAGGACAGCAGAATGACCACGGATGAGTCGCTTCCTTTCCCCAACAGTGTGGGACACGAGAGTCTCCTTCCTCTCTAAGATTCTTCCCAGCTTGGATATTATGTGAATAACTAGCAGAGAATGTACTGGGTTGCCTTCCCATAGAAACGGACAAAACTACATGCAGCAGCCGAGACAAAGTCCTCAAATAGTTCTTCGGTATTTCTAAAGCCTCAGGGCTTAGACTTCCATCTCAGGGTTGGCCCAGCCCTGGGGTCAGTCGTGTGCGGGCTGAGGTAGGCAGCAGGAGGTTAGGGACAGCAGCGACAGGGATCACTGCACGGTTTGTGATGATAAATTCGCCAGGCCCACGGGCCAGGATCCTCCCCAGTGGAAGCGTGCTGGGTGGTCACTTATCCTGCCTCCTCAGGCCACCCGGAGCCCTCCTGCTCCCAGTCAATGGAGAGTTTTAGTTACAGGGATGTGTCCTGTCCTCGGGACTGGGGACAGTGAGAAGGTAGAGTTGGGGAGGAGATGACAAAGCTACTCCTCCTGGGCCCCGTCCGGAAGTTCAGAACTGAGAGAGGGATCCTGCAAGGTAGGAGCCAGTCTCCTTCCATGCGGGGATTCTGGGAGGCCCACATTTCATATGACCCGGCATCTGCCTAATGCCCCGGCACATCCATTGTCTCATGTGACTTTTTTTCTCGGGCTTAGCCACCTCTGTCCCCTCAGTTCTGGCTGGGCTGAACTCTACCTACGGTAAGAAAATCTCCAACACAAGCAGAACTCTGAGCAATGACTCCTTGTGTCACATAAATAGCTTCAGTGATAAGCTGAAGTGCACCTATGGTACACACACGCACACACACACACACACATACACGCACACGCACACTGTCTTGTGGAAATCACCTTCAGGATGATCTGGGCAGGGACTCATTGACACAACCACTCTGAATATAAACGTCTGCGTATGCCTGGAGACCCACCTCTTCCTCCCCTTCACCTCAGAGAGAGGAGCGCCCTGGAGAGAAGCCTGCTCGTGCCCAAGCTGTGAGCTGTTGGGTGGGAAAGGCCCCAAGCCTCCTCTTGTATGGCAGGGGCTGTGGGGCTATGCTGGGGGCCATGCTAGGGGCCAGTGACTACTCCTTCAACAGTCCCAGCTTCTTCAGAGCTTCCCTTCTGTGCTCATCAGGGACGCCTTTTGGGGAGATCTTGACACTGACGTAGGGGGGTCGAGGCAGCTTGTCACGGCTCTGTCCTTGGTAGGACAGGCGCTTGGTGCTCTGCTCCCGCTCCAGTTCAGCCAACTTGCCCACCTGGATCCCTTCAAAGTCCTTCCCCGTGCCCAAGGAGGCAGGGCGGGGCCGCGAGTTACGCAAGACATTAGGAGACATCTTGTCCAAGAAGGAGTCTTTGCCCAGAGAGGTGCTGGTTTTGGGGCTGGGGTCTTTCTCAGCCGAGAGGTAGCTGCTCAGCCCCACGCCTGAGCGCTCCAGAGTGTTGGACTTGAAGTTCATCTGTCTCAGGCCAGGGATGTTGCTCTCCTGGAGAGTCAGCCCTGAGTCTGGCCTTGGCTGGGTCAGGGGCCTACTTACCCCAGGGGCCTTAGGGATAGGAACTGGCATGGATTTGGCAGCTGGTGCCTTCCCTGAAGTGGGTTCCTGGGCAGGAATCAAACCCTTGCCTGGAGGAGACCCCTGAGCTGGAGTGGGAGTCGGGGCCTTCCCCGGAGAAGTTCCCTGCCTTGGAGCTGGGGCTGGAGCCTCTCCTCCGGCAGGCACGGTGGCTATGCCCTGAGCTGGAACTGCAGGCTGAACCGGAGCCCGAGCCTGGAGGGGGGCCTGGAGTCGGGTGGAGTTGGCACGTTTACTTAAGTGGGGGCTGGGCTCATCCTGGTCCTGGGGTAGCCCCAGCTTCTCTAGGGCTTCTCGGCGCGCCTTCTTCTGCTCCTGCAGCGAGGACGAGGCCAGGCCCGAGTCTCCGGGACCGGCCTCCGAGTGGCGGGACAGCCAGTTCTGGGGCTCGCTGTGGAAACTGCTTCGACTGCTCTTCAGAACGATGTTGGGTGGCAGCTTCCGGGGCTTAGAGGCTGTGAGGGGGGCCAACCGGGCACCGGGGTCCCCCCCTGGTGGGACGGGAGCATCTTCGGCGCTCACATTCTGAGATGACGTGGCGGGAGGAGGCCGAGGCTGCCCTAGTTCCCCTGACGAGCCTTTCTCACTGGCCTTTTGGGACATGGCCTCTGAGGAAGTCTCCTTGCTCTCCTGGGGGCGGAGTGACGCGTGGCTCTGCTGCCCGGGCCCCGGGGGCAGGCGGCCTCGCTCGCGTGGCTCGGGCTGGCCGTCCCGGAAGGCCTCTGGCGGAGGGATGGGCACTGTGTCCAACTGCCGGGCAGGCAGCTGGGGACCGGCTGGAGCCTGGCTGGGCTCACTGCTTTGGCTGACCTGCTCTTTCTTAGGCTCGGGAACGAGCCCCTCCGGTTCCCCCGGGCGGTGGCTATTAGTCTGGGTGGTGCTTTTCCTGAGGTTCTGGTTGCTGCCGATGTGGATATTTCTGGGGAGGCTATAGGAGCCAGACCTGAGGCCCAGGCCTTGGGGCTCAGGCAGATGGGTTGAGCTGGGCTGAGTCCCTCTCCTTGGCTCTGGTCCTTGCTGAACAATCTTCTCCCCTGGATATCCTGTGAGGGTCCCGGAGAACAGGCAAAGAAGAGTAGACAGAGGTGAGAACCCTGCTGCCCAGGGCAAAGCAAATACTTCCTGAACTCTGATCTCCACCTAGCAATGGGTTTTGTTTTTTTGTTGATTCTTTGCTCTTAAAGGGACCACACTGTTGCCTGGATATCATTTAGACTGACAGATGGACACTAAGCAGATTCCTGACAACCGAGGAGTAATTTTTCATGAGGGTTGGGGCAAGAGCAGCCTCACGTAACTCCATGTCCTTGCCTCGAGCTCTTCCTAACCATCTACAGAAACACCAGCATTGGGGAGAGATTCAGGACAGCCCGCCAGCTACCCTGGGGCGGGCACCCAGGTAACAAAGTTCAGGGGAAGCACTGAACATGAATAGCATCAACAGCCGATGTGCTCTTGATTTGACCAGACTTCTGCCTTCCTCCACCTTCACTCTCTCTTTTTTTTTTTTTAAGATTTTATTTATTTATTTGAGAAGAGGTGGAGAGCATGAGCCAGGGGGAGGGGCAGAAGGAGAGGGAGAAGCTCCCCACTGAGCAGGGCTTGATCCAGAACCCTGAGATCATGACCTGAGCCGAAGGCAGACGCTTAACTGTCTGAGCCACCCACGTGCCCCCACCTTCACTTTCTATAAGCACCTGAATGATTCCTGATGCTACAGCTGTCCCCACACCAGAAAGTCACATGGGCTCCGTCCCGTCCTTCCAGCAAGCTAGGCAGGTGCATCGGGCCCACTGGGCCAGAGACTCAGTCTCAGGGAGCCGTGAAGTCCTTGCCCCCATTTAGTGCTCTATCTCCACAGAGGGTCTAACACATTGTCAGTTAAGATTCGCTAAATGGATGAATACATGGTTGCAGTCCCGATACCAGTGGGGCTGTCGTCAGGAGTCAAGTGCCCCCCCCACTCTGGGATATATGGCCCCACAGTCATGGCCACACTTGCGTGTCATCCTGGCCCCATTCTACGGAGCCTCACTACTACTGGCTACCACACTCTCTCCCAGGAGCCTCGAGTTGCCACCCACTGAAGTTAAGGGAGCCCTTCCCTCTTATCTCTTGCAACCTGATCCTCCTGGATCACCCAGATTAGCTCTCCAGACTCACTTAGTGTCCCCAGAGCAACCACCCACCGCTCCCCAAATCCCTCCCGCACCTCTGTGGTCATGTCTCTTCAGAATTTCTCTGTGAGAGGACAGGAGCTAGTCAAACGCTTTTCCCTCCAGGCCTTCTATGAGACTTCATAGAAAGACAGAGGAAGCTGGCTTGTCAGCAGTCCCTCCTCCTCTCCAGGACAAGACCTTAATTCTAGCCAGGAGTGTGGAGAGGAGTGCTGTTGTTTCTTCTGCCCGTGACCCTTAGAGCACAGGGCAAGCGAGGTACAAAGCAGCCATAAAGATGTACTGGTTTTCTGGGTCTGCCCATGGTGCCACCCCAGACAGTCTCTCTTACCCTGGGGAGCAGGCTGGGTTATGGGCAGAGCTCGGGGGCCTTGAGGAGCTGTGTCTTGCTCAGACTCGTCAGTGGACAGTCCACTATCAGCCTCAGTGTCCAGTGAGCCGATGGTCTCCTCCAGGAAGAGCAGACACTCTTTCTCTTCAGCGGACAGGAAGTCGTAGCTGCTATCACTCTGGAATGAGGCGTGGAGGACAGAGAGGGAGAGGGAGCTGTGAGAGGGAGCTCCACAGAAACTGGTGGGGCTGAGAACCACCCGTGTCCTGAAGGAATGCTGAAGAGCTGGAAACCCTTCTGAGAGGCTTCTCCGCAAACGTGCGCTGCAGGGATTGCCTCCTGAAACTGCAGGCACAGACGGGGCAGACACTGCCGGGCTATTGGCCTGCTAGCACCCAGCGCTGGGCAGCCAGATGGCAACCGACCTTTTTCACCCAGTCCCGGCTGCAAGACTTAGGGGAACAGATCAGAAGCAGTCCCAGGTTCTAATTCCAGGTCCTCTGTGTGACCTGTGTCAAGCGCTTCACTTTGTGGGTCTCTGATTTAGCCCTAAGTGACATGGACAACATAATGATTTGACCTTAAACTTGAATGGTATTGTTTTTAACTTTTCAAAGGACTTTTGCATCCGCGATCTGGTATGTCAAGGGCAGTATGAGGACAAACAAGAAACTGCCGCCAAGCACTGGCTGTCAGGCCAATGGGAACAGTGGCATGACTAGCCACAGATACATTTACTGAATAATTTATACTTGACTTTGAAATGCATTCCAAACAGGACTTTTTCCTTCGTGTATTTACTTTCTTGGTGGCATTTGGCTCTGGCTAACATTCAAATAATTGTGCATTTCTTAAGCAAATATTAACTTGAAGGGGGGAGGGGAGAGAAACTAGACGGGTATGGGAGGAGGAGAAAGCAACTTAGTGTGAAATATCAAGTAGATATTAGAGTAAATAATTGTCATGATGAAAAAGCACATAGGGATATTTGGAAAAAAGTGTTATGGCCATTTTAAATGGTTATTGCTTATGTTCTACAAGGCCAGCAAGATCCAGAGAATGGTCGCTCTCTCTAAAGTTGAAGGTTGAAGGGAAAACCAAAAGGGCAAATGGAAATGTAAGAAATTTGGCTTGAGTCCCTTCCTGGCGTGTATCTCAACCCTCTTCCTAATATTTGAGATACTTCAGAGTTATATATTCTCCAGACCCGCTCAGATGGCCGGGGAAGATTTTGAGACAGCCCTAAATATATCCTGGGAGATGGTTGTCAGAATAACCCTACCAGTTCCCCTGGCTCCTTAAAGAGCCATCTGTCAGTTGACAAAAGTGAGGCTTACATGTCAAAGGAAGCCCCACATGTAGCCCTTGGAAGCCCTGAAGTCGATTCCAGGGGTTCCCTGAACAAAATCTTCTTTACTGCCCTTTTCTTCCTAAACTAGCCTTGCCAAAGATAAGCCAACTCTGAATTTCTCCTTTGTGGAGGATGCACTTTAAAAACCTTTAATCCCTGCCACTGGACAATCCCTGTCCAGTAGTATGTGACTGCTCAAATTGGCCTCAGCCTAACAGAAACAGAAAGATGTCTCTGGGGTCCCATCATCTCAGGTCAAAAAGAAGTGATATACAGATTGTGGGCATTTTGGAGTGTGTGTGTGTGAGAGAGAGAGAGAGTGCACTGCTTTCTCTACTCAATTTTTACATATCAAAACTCACGGACTATATTAAACATCTTTGACATTTGGTAGAGATCCTTATAATCCTTAAATTTCCAAGTACCTCTATAGGATATAAAGCAATAAAGTATAAATTCTCAAGGGTTATTATGTACATGATGAACAGCAAGAACAAAGGCAAGCTTACATATGGACATACGGCGGACTTCACTCTTTCACACCAGCCTTACGGCAACTGAGATTTACATTCATTCCCAGAAAAATTACAATTTACTACATGCCACACTCACTGTTAAACACAATGACTTTGGAAGATTCTGAATCGCTGCTCATAGAGATAGGCTACTTCTTTTCTACATAGAGTCATGTGCTAAGTGCTTTATATGCATGTCTTGTACTCTCCCGGAGGACCCTATGATTTCGGTGTTTACATTATCCCCACCCAAAAATTGAGGAGACTGAAGCTTACAGAAATTAAGTAATTTGCCCAAGGCCATTCGGCTTATAGGTAGAGAATTCAGACCAGCTTGGCTCCAGAACCCAGGCTCCTAATCACTCTTTTCTCTTTGATCTTCCTAAAAGGAATGTAGCTTGCTGCAGGAGACTTCGGGAATACCTGTGCTCCAGGGATCTACCATCCATCCTTTCCACCAGGAGCTCAGATCACTGGCCCTCGCTCTCACCTCAACTTAGCCCCCAGTGAATGAAAACCGGGAGCAAGTCTCATCTGCCCTCCTGCTCTTTGGGGCGGTCCCACCTTATTCTCTAGAAAACCAGGGTGAATCAGAGGCAGAAATACCAACTGGTGTGATTCACTTCCTGAGGAGGAAGATGAAAGCGGAGGAGCAGTGAGGCCGGTGGTGGGCAGGGCAGGCGCGGGGCGGGGCGGGCGTGCAGAGAGCCGGCCAGGCGGCAGGACCGAGAGTACGTACAGATCCAGAGCGGGTGGACGTGGTGCTCATGATGCTGTCACAGCTGCCGATGTGGGTCACGGGTTCCGAGCCAGGCCCCGCTGGCCACAGCTCGCTCTGGGGCATCGCCCGAAGCAAGGTGCGGGGGGGCGGTGAAAGGGGCTCCCAGAGGGGAAGCGGAGGGAAGTGGAGAGTGTCCCAAGCCGGCCTGAAAAGAGAAGAATCAAAGCCACGTGTGAGCCGAGCTGAGGCTCTCTGGCAAGGCTCTGCCCAGGCCCTGGAGCAGCGTGGCGGCAGGGACGCCCAGCAAGCAGAGAGCTGGAAGGGGCCGTGAACAGCCGTCACCCAAACCTCCCGGCCTGCGTGGAAGGACACAGAAGCGGGCTCGGGCACGTGCAGAAGGGCGGACTGAGCGCAGGTGGGGAGGGCCGGGCAGGGGGTGGGGGCGGGGAGCAGTCCAATCAGAAAGGAGATTCCATCACTCCTGGTGGCCTTCTTTCTCTGAATCAGGGGGCTTAACCTACATTTCCATCACTCCAAACAGTACATGGGTTCTGGAGGCAGTCAGATCTGGATTCAAATCCCACTTCCACCATTTCCAGTTATGTGACTTGAGGCAAATTACTCTTTGACTCCGTTTTTCTCATTAAATCGGGTGAATGTAGGGTTAAATGAGAACAGTTAGCACAGCTTAGTTGGTAGTAAATACTTAATGAATAAGATAAGAACTGCTACAGTTCTTGTAATAAGAAAAAGGCAAGATCCATCTAGGATCAAAACAAACTGAAGTAAGGCAACAAAAGTTTAGAAAAGAAGGGTTTGGGTTAAATGGGAGAGAAGGAACAGGGTCCTCAGTAGTAGCAACCACATAGGGTTGTCGCGAACAAATACTGATATACTGCACATAAAACACATTGTGCAGTAACTGTTCGCTGCCATCCGAGCCAACACCATCACCATCACCCCCCTCCACCCCCCACAGCCACCATCAATCACCTCCCTAGTCTGGGAGGCACGCACATGAGCCCAGAGGCTGACACAAACCCAGTTTCCCTCTTGGGCACCACCCCTCGATGTTGCACTTATTTCCAGTGAAGTTCCCTAAACTCTGTCAAATGAACAAGAGAAGTGGCCTATTTGGCTTCCCCCTGACTCCAACTCGTAGGGGGAAAAAAGTTCCTAATTCACTGTACCACCAGTAATAGCAAAGGAAGGCAATACTATCTTCCTTCTGAAAATTTCAGTCAAGGTCTGAAAAGGCCAGAGGTGACTCTCTTATGTTAAAATGAAATCCTGGAAGAATTTAGTTTAAAAGACAGTTGCAAGGTCAAATTGAGAATTTGGGGAGAGCTAGAATCGGAATCCAGTTTGTCTGGTTCTGAATCCCTATTTTTCCTGTGACACCATGCTATATTTTTAATCCCCTTTCCTACCCTCCCAATACTAGATAAAATGTCCTAGGAAAACTGTGTTCTATAAATAGAAATAGATCTTGGGACCTGGGGTTTGGATCCCAGAGAGGTTGTCCCTTCGGCCCCTGCTAATAACTGCTTCCAGGTCCAAGTCAGTTTGGGGCTGTGCTGGGTGAGTCAGCCTGCCAACCCCGTAGAGCGGAGAAGCACGCAGCCTCATGGAGCTCCTCTCCTGCTTTGGGGGAGGCCTGCAAGTGGGGCAGGTAGGGAGGGGCAGGACAATGGGGAAAGAAGAGGAAAAAATCCCAGTGAGCCAGACACACGGAGTTCGTAAGGGTCCAGACCCTCTCAGGAGATAGAGACAGGACCAGAGGGGACAGAGACGCCAAAGAAACCCAGCAATAAATCAACATCGGGTAAAGTAGTCCTTCAGGTTTCTTCATGAGGTTACTTTCCCAATCCCCAGAACTCCAAAGAAACAGAAACATGAGAAATCATGTGGATGGAATTCAGTCACCTCAGCCATCCACTCCATTCATGACTGTTTAGATCCAGAAGGTACTAACTCATTCTTAACAATCTGTAGGGCTGAGGCCATTACAGCCAAAGAGATGCATTGCTCAGAAGCCTGGGCACACAGAAGGTGCTCAGAAAATGCTGGACAAATAAACTTGTCATCTGTTCTAGTAACTGTTGAGTTAAGCTGTTGGAAGACCTCTTTTTTGTTGGCTCTTACCCTATTACTATAAACTCTTTCCTATGTATTTTATTTCCCTGAGGATAGATGGCTCAATGGAATTGGGGCAATGCTTCAGTTAAACTAACATTTATAAGCACCTAAGAGACGTGGGGCAAGCAAAACTTATAAGGCAAAGGCATGCTTTCCAAGTAGTCATTGTAAATCCAAGGGTCTAGTTTTTGGCTCGAGTTTTCTTAAAATCTTTCTGTAAAATCATAATTATTATTTATTAATACTGTAATTAATACAGTAATTGTTAATACTGTATTAATCACTGTAGTTAATATAATATTCTCTGTGAATGGGTGACCAGATGTTGCCTCTTCTTTTCAAAAACAATTACTGCCTTTGTTCTTCTAAGTACTCTTCGGACTGTATGGTGGCTCGCTAGCCTCTCCTTCCTCCCGGGGCAACCTATCACACTCCCATTTTGGAACTAAGTAGCTGGAAGTAACTAAAGTAGCTGGAAGTGAGAGAAACAATATGAATTGCACTGCTTCAAAAACACATAGCACTGTATAGCTTACAAAGTGCTTTCGATATGCTAATGAGATCTTTAAAATAGCCTGATAATTAAGGCAAGATGCGATATTTTCTCCTTTGACAGATGAGAAATCTGGGGCTCTTTCCACTTCCCCTTCCAAAGGGAAGCAGGGGAGGACCTATAACAGCATGTGGATTGCAGCCCCTCCAGGGATGCAAGAGGGCCATGGACCTAAAGAAGGGTCATCAGCCACCCCTGGCTAAACACGAAAAGCCCTAAGATCACCCTTCTCCTTCTACTTCACACCTTAAACCCTCGAAATCATCTGATTCCGCTTTATGATTCCAGGCCAGCTTTTTGCCCCCACGATAGATATTTCCAGAGTAAACAAATGACACCAAATGTCACTGAAGATCATGTCATCAGGCACTAGGGAATCCCTGCAGAGCTGAATCTGAACCCAAAACCAAGACCAAATGAGCTCTAAGGTGCTTGCATCTTGTCTCCAGGCCTCATTTTCTGATCCAAAGAGCCAGAACCATTAAGAGTCTCCTCTCTTGGGGCGCCTGGGTGGCTCAGTCGGTTAAGCGTCTGCCTTCAGCTCAGGTCATGATCCTGGAGTCCTGGGATCGAGCCCCACATCGGGCTCCCTGCTCAGCAGAGAGCCTGCTTCTCCCTCTCCCTCTACCGCTCCCCCTGCTTGTACTCCCTCTCTCTTTCTCAAATAAATAAAATCTTTAAAAAAAAAAAAAATAAAGAGTCTCCTCTCTTTGTCCCACCCTTCCACTCTCCTTCGCCACTTTGGCCTACCTGGATGCTGCATTTCCTTTCACCAACTTTACAACCTTGAAACTTGGGGACTATTTCAGGGCAGCCATCGAAACCTGAGGTATTCCTACCTGATAAGAAGCCTGAGAAACAAGCAAAACTCTCAAGGTGAGAGTTTGGTATCTTTTAACCCTTGACCTCTTTGGAGGATTTGAGGGGAGGAGGAAATGGGTTATGAAATACGCACAGCCTATAGTCAGGGCGACCCGTGCAAAAGACATTAAACATTAACTACTCCACTGAAACCAGCCAAGTCTTGGAGGAAAGTAAATAAAGAGCATGAGGAATTCTGGCATGGGTCGGGGAGTCGGGGTGCGCAGGGCTCCAGCCCCATTCCTCTTTGTACCCTCTAAACAGGCCCAAATCCCCCTTGTCACCCTCCTCCCGTGAGCCCACCCCCATATCTTTCAAGAGCTCAACTTCTCTCCCAAAGAGTCAAAGAGATTTCCTATTTCTCTCAGACCACGTGTCTCTCCTTCTTGCTGACTGTCCAGAAATATGCCTCAGGCTGGGGAACATCCTAAGAAAAATGCCGGGAGGACTATAAGTTGCACCACGTGTATATGCTTCTCCATGAGCACATGGCCAAGTTTCTGAGTGTGTTTAGTCAACATTATAATCTCCTATTTCACAGGTGGGTTTGAGGCAAAGGGTGGGTCGACCTATCTTCTGCACAGAAGAGCTTTGTTCGACACTGCAGGTTATCTTATCACTGACAAGTTCACCATGGATGGCAGCCCTCAGTCAGTGAGTTTGGTGGGCTGGTTCTGTGGTGTGGGCTCAGCTAAAACCGAAAGCTCCGGTCGCCAGGACTGGAAACCCACATTTGCTTAGGGCTTGCAGGTGCCAGGCCCTGGGAGCCTGGCACGGGGGTCTTCCCACTTCACTCTTTCCTGCCGCAGGAGGAAAAGAGGCGAAGTTAGGGGCCAGAATGTAACACCTCCCTGCGCAAGGTGGATAATGGAGAGCTGACTTGCTACTCTGAATTGACTTTGACATCCAGCTTCTTTGTGCAGGTAAACCTGCCACACATTCTGTCAGCTGGGACACCTGGAGGAAGACAAGCCAAGCCACCACAGTGGTCTGGTTCTTCTGTCTGTGGACTCCGCCACCCTACTTTGGCCCGAGCCCCACTGAGAACTCCTACCAGTTTCGAGGTACTACTATGCAATGTTAATGTGGGTGGGGTCCTGGCACAGCCCAGCAAGCGGCTTTCTATTTGCCAGTCTCTGTGTCTAATAGCAGGCAAAGTCGGAACATTAATTGAGTTGAACCTTTTAACTAGATTATCCGTGGGTTTTCCAAAGACGAACTGGTAGTCTGAGTTGGAGTTTTCTGAGCCTCACATCCCCTTACAAACAACCTAGCACACCTCATACCTTACACGCTTGTCCACAGAGAGCTCCATTATCACGGTACCATTATTGAACACACACACACACACACACACACACACACACACACACTGCACCCTTTATTTAAATAAAGATAGACATTGAGTTGATAAAGCCAGGGGAAAATTTCCTTTTGGAAATGCAATGGAGAAACTAAGGCACTTTTCTCCCCTGGGTGATCCCCCATTTTAACTCCCTGTACTCTAACTCTTCCTTTCCAAAATCACAACTCAGTTTCAATTGCTCAGAGATGGAAATTTCCAAAACAAACCTATTTTATTTTTCTTGTTGTCTGCAAAATATGCTTATCCAACGAAATAGGCAGATGAAAAAAAATAGGCATCTCAGCCC